TGATTGACTCAATTGGTAGAGGGACATCATTAGAGGTGCAAGCAAAGCGATTAAAGGGAGAGTCAGTGTCTCCGGAATTTTCCCGCCTAATCCCTGGAAGCATGACTGAAGAGTACCTGGCCACATACCACAAGGAAATCGTAGCAGCCAACGAAATGCTAGCCAACAACGCCTTGGGAAAATGGGAAGACCTGCTACGGCAAAAGTTTTGCTTGAAAAACCAGAATGATTCTGCCTTGGCGAATGGAGAGGCAGCCACGGGACAGGCTCAAGAGCTACCTGAATGGGATTGGCAAACAGAGACTGGATCATACCCCCCTGTTGACCGACGATGGGTGATATATGCGATAAGCCAAGTCTTCTCAGTGGAAACGACCTCATCTGACGAAGCGAAGCCTGAACTACGCTTGGCTCTCCCAGATAGCAACGTCACAACTTACTTGGTTGTTGCAGGTCACTTGACAATCTCCAATTTGCTTTCAGCCTTCCGCGACGTGCTTCTTCTGGAAGCTTCGGGGATTAAGGCCCTGGCCAGAGATTTAATCCACAGCCTCACTGATGCTGACCCGTCTATGACACTCTTGCTGAACTACCTGCAAGCCACAAAGTTGGGGGAAGTAGAGTTGTTGCTTGCAATCAGAAGCCTTATGCTGAGCATGGATTTACTCCCGGATACGAAAAAGCTGAATAAGCTTAAGCTGTTGGCAAATGAAGCTCACGAAGAAGGTGATACGCAGGAAGTGGACCTTGATGATCTCGAAAGAGAAATTGCTGTCACCGAGCATTACTTAGGAGACGAGTCAAGTAGCCGCTCCCGCGGCTTGACTCTAGCATTCACAAAGCTGTGGCGCATTCCAGCCATTGCGACAGTCAAAGCTCTCCGTGATACAATCCGAACCGAAGAGGTGCTAGCCTTCATCTATATACTTAGAGTGGAATTGGTTCGCGGAGCCTGGACAACCTTGTACACTGATCCTACTAGCCTTGACTCTGAAGGCAACGACCCTCCCCCGGATGGCGTCATTACCCTCATTGCAGATCTGCTCGGACGATGCCTGGATGCAGTCGGCGCTGGAGGATGGCTGTTTAACGATGCTATGACCTGGGCGGACAAGACTGAGGCCGGTGACTTTTTGACCGCCCTAAAGCTGGAGGTTGCTGCAGCCCTGGAAGGCTTGGAAGAAGCTGTTCTTCTCAGCGGCATTGTGGGTGAGGCTGTACGATATGGGCTTACAGCAGAGAAGAACTGGGCGGCACGTCAGGTTTGGACCCCAAACAAACCCATTTCATGGCATTTGGAGGGCAAAGAGTCTCGGCTTCTGCCACTTGGATTGAAGATGAAGTTGCTGCCTACCAGAGAAAAGGTGGTGTCCGGTGGTGAGGTTGTTAATCGCAGCTCACGAGAAACGGGACACATGATAAGTCGAAAAGTGGAGGCTTATTCACTTGAGAGGCTGGCTATTTGAGCCGCATCGAAGCTGTCTCATCCGGTCCATGTGTGGATGCACACAACCGCATCTTGTCCTCTAGCTGTATAAGGAAGGCATCAACATTTATAACGCATCCAGTGCGGCTGAGAATATTGCATAAGTGCCTATCAGAGCCAAGGCATGGATTTCGGGCATGGATGCGCAGTGTTGCCAGGGCGCAGTTGGTTAATGCCGCCCTGGTGACCTGGATAGCAAATGCTAGGCTGTGAAGATGGAACGGGAATATTGGTTGCATAGACGATAGGCAGTATATGCCCCAGAAGGCGTTCAGGGTGGTTCACATAGTTTTGGTTGTGTACAAACAAATACTGGCTGCATATGCATGACTCCGATACCGCGAATAGATAGCGAATATGAATATTTTCTTGAAAAGCGCCAACAATGTTGATACGGGAAAATCATTTACACGTACAGTAACTTCAGTCCTTATGCGGGCGATATTGGGGATCATTAATTAGCCTGGATCCCATGACAAGCATCCCTCACTTGTCCGTGCACTCTTGTGAGTACTAGCCGATTTACAGTTTACAGGTAAGACGACGTAATAACCTCGGCCTAGTTGGTTGCAGTGAGGCGAACGGATAGTCATAGATGTGACAAAATGGGAGGCTGATCTACGGGCTAGTCAAGCATTGATGACGCGGGTGACGTTCGGAAAGCTTGTCTAGGGAAGTTGGATGCTATGTGCTACAAGTTGTTTCAAAATGGATTTGGCCTGGTGCTGATTGTGTAAATGACAGCCACTTGGACACCGGGACGTCAAAGTTCCCATTTGTTTTGAACAACATTCCCAGCCAGCATCTTTCGGCGTGCCTTTGGTGCGATATCCCACAGTTAGACTGAGCCGGCTATAGCACCCCGATCTCGTAGTTCGTTGGTTGCAGAGAGGCGCAGCAAGTAACTTGGGGGGATAGAAGGAGATTCTGGAAGCTGCTGTTTTCATATAGTGCACATCGAGGCACCTTCCGTCACGCCGTTGGAGAGATAGCTGACTTGAAACCCGAAATTGAGCTACCAAGTCTGACTTGCTGGGAGCCTTGGGGTGTGGCAGGTGTGGCACCCTAGTTCATAAGTCGCTTTGGCCCCAACGTGGCTGAATAGCGAAACTGGGCGTCGAGTACGGAGTACTCCGTATTGTTGCTCGAAGTCCCTTGGCTGCCTAGAGAGTCGATCCAACCACATTTTTCAGGTAAATGGCATGAATTGACTGTGGGGACAAGAGAACAAAGGAGCATGAGGTATATTTTGCGGCTCTGCGGAGGTGAGGCCGAGACAGATGTCATGGTGCTTGCAGATGTTATGCTTGGTAGTTCGTATATCGGGCCTCGTCTAGTACGCCCATCGGGTTGATGTTGGCGTGCCTGTGTGGTACCGACGCCAGTGACTCGCTCTCAAGTTCAATATTCGGTTTTAGCAGCTAAGATTGTATCAAGAGGTTGGAGGGGTCCCAGACCAAAGGACTGGAAAACGAAATCATACCCATCCAACCGTCTTTCATGGTGGCGTTGGGCGTCCCTCGGAGCCAAGACGAGACAAGAGCTAAGAGCCTCGCAGTGACGTGCAGGCAGGTAACCAGGACCCTGGCGAAGCTAAACGACTCCTCCCCAGCGAATTCTTGCGCGGTGGTACTCCGTAGAAGTGGCGGATTCGTGGACGGCGGCCGAGCCCGATGTTGTAAACACGATGAACACAGGCACAGCCCCAACGCACTAGGGCGTCGGGCATCCCTTTGACGACTTGCAAGCCCCCCGGACCAGGCACATCAGCCATCAGGCACGAGGGAGATGGCGAAGCCAGACACGAGCAGCCGAACGTTTCATGGTTTGATAAAGAAATGTCTCTGGCGAATTCCGGAGTCGAGAACAACATTCATGCATGATGGCAAATGCTGCAACTTGCTCCGGGACGGTTGGCCGGCCGGTCCTTCCGCCTTTATGCCTGGTTACTTTCGGCTGCTGGGCGGGAAGTGGAGAGGGCTACTATGTACTCCGTAGCTTGTACCTAATGTGAGGCCGGCGGGCATGACGGTAACTACAGGTACCAGGTACCTAAAATAGTAGGAGTAGGCTGTTGTAGTCTGAAGCCGAAGGAGCCTGCCAACGAGCACCTGGTTGAATGGAACATGGATGCAGCTTCGGCTCCAGCTCCATCTCCCGATCATCTCACGTGGTGGCAATTCGGCCCAGAAACACCAGCCAGCAGACCCCAGCTTGATGAGCTATGACCAAGACGCCAAATCGCAAGCCCCAGGCTGGGTCTGGGCTGCTGAGACCGGAACCAGCCAGTCACCTAGTGGCTAGTGCTGAGCTACGGTGCCGATGGAAAAAGGCAAAACGCAGTGTAGCAGCGCAATATTTCTCCCTCCAGCGGAGGGCAGCATCTTGAGGACCACAAGACCGAGACATCCATGACAGAGTACAGCAGCTGTGGCACGTGCAGATTTTGTGCAGATTTTGTGCTGGTTGGTCAGCCCTGTGTTCGGCAGTATTTGCTGTACTATACGATAACTCACATACCGGCACCTAGGAAGTTTCCATCTGGAATTTGGACGTCGCCAGGTCAGGCTTAGTTGACAAGGAGAGTGTGGAGGGTGTTCAGCCAGTGTTCGTTTCTTGGCTGGCCTTCAATTATCGAGAACGACCGGCCGCCGGGCCCTTTCGTGCCTTTCAGCCCTGGAACAGTCCCGTACAAGCATCGCACGGGGAGGCGGCCGTCTCTGGAGACCATACCTACATGGGCACATCGAGGTCAACACTGATACGTTGCGTTGCCTTCTGTGTGGGCAGTGTGCATGTGGGTTTGCGGCACCCTCGTTGGGCCATCGCCGCCGTGACGCACACATGGGTGACACTGCGCTCGTCATGAGGGAATGCCGCAGGAGCATGGGGAAACTGGAGGGGAGCAGCCAGGGAATGGATGAAGGTGGTGTGGGTGGCAGCCTTTGTCTTGCATCATCCATCACGCCCGCTGACATGCCATCAGATACCTGACGTGAGAGTTCAAAAGTCTGCGACGGGGCAGAAGCATGGGCTTTCCAACGAGGCCACCCTTCCATCGGCACGGCCCACGGCCTATTTCTGCCCCTAGTTGCCACATCTGTTCACCGGGAGTGGGAGAATATTTTCACTCGTCGTTAGAAATTTCGGATCTGTGCCTGGCGAACAAACTCTCAGACTTGTCGCTTATATGTGAGCCGTCGGCCGATACTTCAACTAACGAGTCGCGCAAGAGCCTGTCCACGACAAACCACCTCGACGTACCCACACGGCCATCACGAGGACTCATCACGTATTACGGAGTAGTTCTCGCTTATACCTGACCGAGTCCGTGCTGTATTGTCATTGAGAGAGACAGATCTCGAAAACAGCGACATCATTCCGGCCCTTTGACTCTCAAGAGCCAATTTTCACTTCTCATTTCGACCCCAGAGGTTGATCGAGCTGCATCAACACTGGGGGAGCATTAGCGACAGCGACGACTTACACGGACTCATCTTCCAGGCACCCAGCAATGAGCAGCGGAATAGAGCTTGAGCACATCGACGCCGTCGATGCCTTTGCCAGAACACTATTTGTTCGAGTCGAAAATCATCCGTCACCACTTTTTACCGAAGTTGGCGCTTCCGTACGGCGACTGCACCTTGCTTTACGACATCTACGAGTAGAAGCTGCTGACCCTGACTCATTGCTAAGAAGCGCAGATGCTTCTGTTTACGCACGTCAGCTCAGACCTATCGTGGAAGACTGTGACTTTGCCCTGAAGCAGCTTAAAACCATCCTAGAGAAGTTTGATGGTGCTGGTGGCCGAGAAACAGATGGACTGGTAGATCGGATAGCCGCGGTGCGGTCTCGCCTTGCCAACGAGACAACGAGCGTCGATATGTTTCTGGATACGGTACAATTGAATAATCCTGCGAATAATGCACCCGAGGTTGTTCCCCAAGGAAGCGATTCCAATTTGGAAAATATTAAAGACAAGGTCGACAATATCGCTGCACGATTGTTTCGTCGTTGGAATGCAAATAGCGGCATCATGAATGACGAGGATAGCATGTGGCAAGAATTCAAGTCTGAACTTGAGATGGAAGGATTCTCCCCCCACATTCTGCACCAACACAAGGTTAGTTCCCTGTTGCTCAGTTACATGATACCACCTTGCTTAGTTGTGCTGTGCCGTTGCTGATCTGTTGCTCCCTACAGGAGGTGCTTCGCGCATATATTCGTGAGCTTCAGGCTATGTCACCGGCTAATGGCGGTTCTCCTCCGACGGTACGGGGTTTGCTTGAGCACGAAGCCGCAAAGAGACCACCACCACTTCCACCCAAGGCGCCTTTGTCCCCAAAAGAGCTGTACTCATCTTGTGTGGAAAACGAGAAGTGTTTCCCTAGCATCAAGCAAGAGCGGCGCATGCCTGATCACGCTCCTGTGGCTGGTGCATCTGGGAACGAGAATCGTTCATTCTCCGATGACGGGTCGGCTGCGGTGGGGGGCTCCCTTGCTCTTATTTCCACCAAAGACTTGATGAATATGGACAGAATCAGTGCAGAAATGGCTCTTATGCATTTAAAACCATCTAGCTCACATCTGGGGGCCCCCGATGTGAGGAGCAACCCAGGCTTGACACCTCCTGGGATGTCGGGAAGCTGGCCACCTCCGCATATGTCCACTGGACAATCCAATCTCCCCAATTCCGTGGGCGGATCTCCTAATATAGGCTTTCTGCAGACAGGATATCTATCTGCCTCCAGAGCGCAACCAGGTAGCTTCTCTTCAAGCCCAGGACTTGGATCTCGTCTGGCACCTGATAGGTATGGCAAAGAGATCCCCATGGACGCACCCTGGACAAAGATCCGAAGGTCGTTGGTTAGCCCAGAGGTACTGCAGCGTGCCGGTGTCCGGTACGAGGCGCGACCAGAATACGTGGCAGTTCTCGGGAGACTATCCCGAGAGCAAATAGAGGAGTATGCTAGACAGAGTGCAGCCTGTCGTGCTGCTCGATCAGGAGGATATCCACCAGCGCAACGTCAAGACCGGTATGCCCATCGCGACAGAGCCGACTCAAAGAGCAGCCGCGAAGATAATGACGACGAAAGTGTTTTATGGGATGAAAGCGATGCAACAGATCTTGACGATGCGACGTCAAAAAGAGGGCAAAGAAACTATCCATACATTGTCAGTCCACCCAATGAGGACAATACGTCTCCTTCTAGCACTGTGATGCCAAAGCCTATTCTGAAGAACAAGAACGAAAACCGCGTACGGTTCGATCCAGAGCCCCATGAGGTAGACATTAAGAGTTCGAAACCATATGACGATGGCTATATTAGAAGGCGAGAAAACGACTCGCGGAGAAACCGCGACCATCGGGATAGCGGAAAACGAGAGGAGAGACCACGCGGAGATGACAACCGTCACAGATACCCAAATCGCAGCGAACATGGCCGTCGAAGGAACCGCAGAGATGAGAGACACATGAGGAGGAAAACATGGGGCGAAACCATTGGTGCTGTGAGCATCGGTGGTGCCGCCGCAAGTCTCCTCGGTGTCTTGACGGAAGCAGCAGTTGGATTCTAGTCATGGCTGAACCACCTATTCCGAATCACAATCTCACCCGGTCAGAAACTAGCGTGCATCTCCAAAGCTCCCTGCTCTACTCAGCTCATGTACGATTCATGTGGTCTGACTGACTTATTGGCCATCTCTGGCATTTTCATTTTTCCTGTATTTGGCTTTTTACTTAATGCGTACGCGACACTTTAAGGGAATCACAGAACCGTGCACGAAAGGAGGTGCATTTCCACTGTTATATCCGGGTTTCCAAAGGGGAGGGATTAGCTGATGCGCACCTGGGAAATAATGAAGCAATGTACCATGCAACGAGTCACGCCAAAACGAACTTCAAGCTGCCCTTGTATGTTTGTTAATCTCTGATGACTTGTTTGGATATACCCCAGACGGCAATGAGGCCTGGCAGACGAGGACAGCGCATAGCATACATATTTGAACGGTTATGAGTTTGCTTTTGTATCACTACAGGACGTTTAACGAAATTGTTACGATAAAAGAATATATGGATTCGCGTCATGTTCAAACAGGCAAAACCCTAGGGGCACAAGCGTGGTCGCATGTGCCATGTCGTGTAATGCGCCTACTGCTACACAATTATATGCTTATGCTTCGAGGTGTAAATGCTACCAAAAATGCACGGCATGCCCACAAAACGATGTTTTACAGAATAAGCTCCTCCTCCAGCCGATGCCACCACGTTCTCGATTCCGCATCCTCGCGCCTAGGCGCCCTCCCCAGCTGGGCGATCCTCCTCCGCGGCCTGCGGTGCCACCCGCGCACATTGAGGACAGGAGCCTCGGGATACGGAAAGTCTGGCTCATCAGAGCCTTCCAGGTCGCGAACGTGGAAGCCAGCCTTTTTCTGCGGCAAGGTCGACCGCCAGCACCGGACCCACTCAAAGCGGCGCACGGCGTCGGGACGGTTGATCTGCACGACGCCCTGGGCTGTACGGTACCGGACCTGGTGGGGGAAGAAGTCGGTGAATTCCGCGAGCAGATTTGGTATCATGGTCTTCATGACGACTCCGTCGCGGTGTCCCTTGTTCGCGGAGGCCGTCTTGAGGAGCTTGTCGAACCAGCTCGATATGCGGTGGCGCACGTAGTCCTTGTACACTTCTGCCTGGTGGCGACGGTGAGTGGCCTCTGGGGAGGGCCCGAGGTCGTTTTGCAAAATCTCATCCTGGACGGCGAGCTCGTAGTCGGCGACGACGGCTTCGTAGAATGGGAGGATGTCGTTTCTCACTATGGCGAGGGCGCGGCCGAATGAGCGCTGCGAGAGGAGCGTCTTGATGTAAATGTCGTAGTCGTCGAACGACGGGGTTACGTTATATGGCGGCGAGGTCATGACGTTCCAGACTTCCCGGACGTCGGCGCCTGATGTGACTGTGTATTGGGAGTGGTCGAGGAGTTTTCTCGTGGGCTTGAAGGGCTTCGAGGCGCAGAGGTAGGTCCAGTTGAGAAGGTTGGACCACGTTTCGCGGGGAATGGGCACGTCATATCGTCGCGAAACAAAGTCGAGGAGCTTCATGCCTAGGGGGATGTGGGACATGGACCCGAAGGCCTCTACGATGGCGCCGAGGAGATTGCCGGTGGGCTTGATGGGGGAGCGTGGAGGGAGGTCGACTCCGCCTGAGATTTGGGGGGTTCCGGGATTGGATTCGGCGTCTTCGTCGATTATGATGCCGTAGTAGTTTTTGAAAACCAGCGCCTTGATTGAGTGTAGGGAACTGGATCGGGCAAAGGCCACGAGGGAGGCGCAAAGGAGCTCCTCGTCCATCTCGTGGCCGTAGAACAGGGCCCGAATCCAGTGATTCTTGTAGCCGCGAAAATCAATCCGTCGACGGACAAGGCGTCGCATATCTTCGTCCAGCTCGTCTGGTCTTCGATTCCAGGGCCTCCTCTTGAAGGCGTTGATGCAGTGCCTGACGCTGTCCAGGCGCTTCAAGGTTGCCATGGGCAGCGGTGACCGGTTGCTGTACAAGTCTCGGGCCATGACGGCCACGCGCGAGCGGTCCCATTGATAGTACGCAGGCTCGACCATGAAACGGGACTTGATGAATTCTGTCCAGGTCTTGCAGGTGCGGACATCTTGCAGGCCCTGGGACGGCATGGTGGCCCAGAAGCGCTTGGCTGCCTGGTAATCGACAGCAGCACCGGCACATCTGAGAAAGACGTCAAAGTCGGCCGGCGCCAGGCCGTAGCGGGAACCGGCACGGACTTCCATGAGTATCTGCATGCCGCGTAGTACTTGACGATGGTGATTGCGGACTCCAAACTGGTCGACCAATTTGCCGACATCGGTAAACTGAGTTTGGCCTTGGGTCAGGTTGAGGCCGTGCGTAACATCGTGCTTCCTTGTTGCCAGTAGAGGGTCAATGCTGCGTAATATCTCGGAGAATGAAGGGCCTGGAAGCTCCTGCGCTTGTCTGACGGCACCGTCGTTCAACGGCGAGCTGGGGTTACTGAGGAGATCGGTCCATTGAAGAAACGCCTTGTACAACAGCTCAGGGTCCTGGGTTTGCACCGCATCCAGCACAAGGTCGAGCTCCGTGCATCCACGAGGAGGGAGGAACTCGGCGAAGTGATGCCGGAGAGGAGCTGCTGCGGCTACCGTTGGCGCATGAGAGGCCAGGTGTCGTTGTCGTTGTCGTGGTTGTGCTTGGCCGAGGAGCTTGGAGTTGGCACATCTTGCCCGACTCTCTGTTCGAGACGGGCTGACGGCGGGTGGCCGATTCCAGCTCGCCTTCGTCCAGAGAGGCCTCCTCAGGGCCATTGTCTCGATGTGCACAGCGGCAGCAATCCGCACCGAGCGACCAACTCCAGGCAAACGAAGGTTCTGGCGCGTGCGGGCAGCATGGAGGAGGAGGTCGAGTCGAGAAGGACGGGGCAAAAATCCGGGGTGCTCGATGTCGATCTGGGGGTTCAGATCCACCGCGCCAAAGGATCTCCTGATTGGAGCTTGTGCTCGCTATTGACACTTGCTCTGCTGTTCCCGCAGTGGCGTGCGGAGTGCTACAACCCACTGTAAGAGGTCCAGACGTCAACTGTAAGTCGACTGCAGTCTGTGCCGCCCTGAATGGACATGCCAAGCACCCGAGGATTTTCCACCAGACTTTTCCACCCCACCGCTGACGGAAATTATTGGGCGCCTCGCTTCTCATCGACTCAAAGAGCATCCAACTCGACGCGCTGACCAAGGGGAAACGCGCGCAGCTTTGGCAGCCCGACGCCAAGAATACTCATCTCAAAGAGAAACAAGCTACACGTCGATTTCCGCTCAAAATGGCCGATACCGGCGACGACACCGGCCATGTCTCTGAGCCCCTCGACCTCGTCCGGCTCCTGCTGAATGAGGTGGTCTTTGTGAAGCTCAGAGGTGACCGTGAGCTCAAGGGCAAGCTCCATGTGAGGCATTTCAAAAGTGCATCGTGTGAGAATAGGGGGTGACTGACAAGCTGTAGGCCTACGACAGCCATTGCAACTTGGTCCTCGGCGAGGTTGAGGAAACAATCTATGCTGTCGACGAAGACGAGGAGACAATCAACCGTAAATCAGAAATGCTTTTTGTCAGAGGTATGTCGTGGTGCTGTGGCCGCCGACGCTGGTGCTAACGGGAAAGCAAAGGAGACAGTGTTGTTTTAATATCACCGCAGGTCCCTTTCTGATTCGGATGACGACGGGAGGTGGACGTATGAGAGAGAACATGTCTACTACTGGATTCATGGCTTGACGCATCGTTACAACCTCTCATGTGACCTAGAATACAAATAGGCCATGAAAGAGGAGTCATGTTGAACTAGCAGAGCTAGCATGCAGTCACTGAGCTGCATCGAAGCGTCTTCGGGCATTTACTTGAATCACAGTCCGTAGCTTCAGAGCATCGGGGATGACTCAAATCTCTAGGGGCTAGCTTTTGTCTGACTGGCCCGGCTGATATGGCAATATGGCAAGATATTTAGACGAAGTAAGAGGAAGAAAAAAAATAAAAATAAAAATGTTATAAGCTTCAACTACTGCTTTCCCAAGGCCTCGTCTTCAAACATTACCACTGCATACCTAGGTACCTAGGTAGTAATGCATCCTACTTAAGTAGTATGCACATATCCGATTTCGCATTCGCCTCCCGCGGTGGGGATCGTGTGGTGCAATCTAGTGGGCTGATCCACACTTGCTCGAGTCTTATCGATAACATCTTGGTCTCGGGAGGCTACTTATTCGCCCCGCGACCCGCCGACCCGTCGTAACCAGGTATTCCATCGCAACCTAGTCTATCTATGACTCCTTGCAGCAACAAAAGAGTCAACTGGCCGAAGCCGTGGCGCAGTAACCCAAGGCTGATTTACTGACACATTATATATATCCAAGAAAATCTTCCAGAACGTATTGCGCGCTCCTTCTTTCTCCTCTTTCCCCCGTTGCAGGAGAATCCAATGATACCTCGAATATTGGTGTAACCCTGCACGGTCCTGTCATCCGGCGAATAGCCATGTCCAGCAAGAACACAAAAGCACTAGCGCATGAGAAGCGCAAGGGCGAGTCTGTAAGTTCTGCGTAGTGAAGCACTGAGTCATTGTCGACGCTGGTCTCACAAGAGTTCAAGGCCTTGGGCGACTTTGCCGAGTACGTAGAGCAGCAGCAGAACCTGCGCTTCCCTGCGTCAAGACGGACCAACGTCGTCGCCACGTCTAGTGCAAATGACGCGGAGCATCACGAGGAATTGGATGAACTATTTGATAATCTTGACTTGGCAGACACTGCACCGAGGATACCTCTGAGAGACCTTGTGCTCGGGACAGATGACCACACATTTGAGAAGCTCCGTGATGTCATTGCCGAGCGCATCGACGAGGGGATGGGCGAGACCGTTTTCGAGCTGGGCTACGAAAACAACGGCGATTCAATGAACCTGACCGTGGATGACTGGAATACCGCGTACAAGAGACTGGTGGCTGCGGCAAAGGCCGCGGGAGCCGACTGTGACCTGCTCCTGACCAAGAACGTCGGCGGCAAACTCGAGGCAGAGACTACGGCCAATAAGCCTGACAAGGGAGGCGGATGCAACGGCAAGATTCTCATACGGAGGGTTCCCACGAATGTTGAAGATGTTATTGAGACTAGAATAGCCGTTGTCGGTAATGGTAAGTCAGCCTCCCCAATAGTGTATATCGTAGGCGTGGAGGTTGCGTAGGGAGCTGACTGGTTTTTGGCCACCCAGTTGATGCTGGAAAGAGTTCCATGCTTGGGGTGCTAGTAAAGGGTGACCTGGATGATGGAAGAGGCAAAGCGCGTGTGAATCTGTTCCGCCACAAGCACGAAATCGAAAGTGGTCGAACCAGTTCCGTCGGAATGGAGATTATGGGCTTTGATAGCGTGGGAAAAGTAATCACTTCTGATATACCGGGAAGTAAGTGCCGACTTCTGGCATCTGGTTATAGTTTATTTTTATTAATAACTCCGGATATAGGAAAACCATCATGGGAGGACATTGGCAAGCAAAGTGCCAAGGTAATCACCTTCAGCGATTTGGCCGGCCATGAGAAATACCTGAGAACAACAGTCTTTGGGCTGCTTTCCAGTAGCCCCAACTACTGTCTGCTCATGGTTGCCGCGAACAACGGGCTGGTTGGCATGAGCAAGGAGCACCTGGGAATCGCTCTCGCTCTCAACGTGCCCGTCATGGTCGTGGTTACCAAGATTGACATTTGCCCTCCAAATATCCTGCAGGAGACCATTACCCAAATCACCAAGATCATGAGGAGTCCGGGGGCCCGCAAGGTCCCAACCTTCATTAAGAACCGCGAGGATTGTATCAACACAGCCACACAATTTGTCAGCCAGAGGATATGTCCCGTGTTCCAGGTTTCCAACGTGACTGGGGAGAACTTGGGCTTGGTTCGGACTTTTCTGAATATCCTCCCCCACCACGGGAGATACAATACGGATGCGCCATTCGAGTTTCATGTTAACGACACATTCTCGGTGCCATACACGGGGACAGTCGTTTCTGGAATCGTCAAGTCTGGCGTGGTCCACGAGGGAGACAATGTTCTGATTGGGCCCGACTCCCTGGGACAGTTCACCGCTACGGCCATTCGATCGATTGAGCGCAAGAGATTACGTGTTCCCGCCGCGGTTGCCGGCCAGTCTGCCTCGTTCGCTCTGAAGAAGGTAAAGCGCAAGGATGTGCGCAAGGGCATGGTCGTGCTTCCAAAGGTGGAAGGTGAGCCTAACCCCAAGGTTCACCGAGAATTCGTTGCAGAAGGTAAGAAACGACGCCTGTTTTGGGACAACGAAGTGTGTTTTAGATGCGAGTACTAAAATATGTCTACAAAATAGTATTGATTCTATCCCATGCCACCACTATCAAGAAGAAGTATCAGGCGATGCTTCACGTCGGGCCAGTTTCTCAAACTTGCGCCATCATCGACATTGATAGGGAGTTGATACGAACGGGGGACAGAGCCACGGTGGCGTTCCAGTTCGTCCAGCGGCCCGAGTACCTTGCGCCGGGCGACAGACTGCTCTTCCGTGAGGGTCGTACTAAAGGCCTGGGCATCGTCAAGGCTGTTGGATACGACCCCAACCACCCGTTGATGGAGAAATCTGCGAATGGGGACGATCAGAAGGATCAAGACAAGCCTCACGCGGGACAGCAAGTTCAGGTCAGTGCATAGAGCCTGTACGACGCTCGGTAGCGTGGCGGAAAAAAGGGGGGGTGGGCTGTACTCCGTATGGCCCATGATATATATCATAACAATCTCTTTGTCTTTCCAGTGTGGGACTTTGGAGACGTTTTGGCTTTGTTGCGCCACCGAAATTCATAGAGCGACTGTATTTTCTTTTCTTTTCTTCTTTTCCCCCCATCTTACTTCTTTTTCAAATGTTTGTTGTACACATCTACCCCTCATTCTTGTTTGTAGTTTGCACCCCTATTTTCTGTTTTAATCTTAATATATCATGTCACTTAAGGGAGCAGATGTACCTATTACATCTTGAGCGGCGTGAAGCCCAAGACAAAGTTCTCCTTTTTCTGGACCTCGACGCCGGAATATACAGCGGAGAGTACAGCTCTCGGATAAGAAATCAGCTGCATGAATTTCGGGTTGTGCCCGTGATGCCGTTCAATGTAGATGCATATCGCCAGTCCCTCGTACAAGGTCCGCCGTCGGGTCCACCACATTGGGTACAAGACGACCTTGGCCATCCAGTACAACAGCAGAATCATGGCGCGGGGGTCCTTGTCCTGAACAAGGACCTGGTACCTGGCGTCGATTTGGCTCAGGAACGAGAGGAAGTGGTGGATGTTGTGGGGAGTAGGCTCGACGGGGAGGAGCTGCGAGATCAGGGCCGCGGCCGCGTGGTAGGGGTTGCCGTCGGGTGTGGACGGCGGGCCGATGTCGAAGACGGAGTAGAAGAGCGAGGGGAGGGCATGCGGCCTTATGGGCGACGAGGCGCTTGGGGGCGGATCACGGCTTTGGTAGGCCGTCATTCGGCGGAAGAGGCTCTCCGGACGGCTGGGATCGGCCAGTTCCCAGACGACTCTTTTGCCGTGGCTCATCCTCAGCCAGTCCAGGTCTGTGGACGAGCGTTCCTTGAGGGGCCATGCGTCGCTGGGGTCGAGGGAGCCGAGATAGGCGAATGCCGCGGCGCCGAGCATGGCTGCCGACATCCAGAGGGCGTCGCGCTCCGAGGAGGAGAGGACGGGCGCCGTGGATGCCCTGGACAGCATCTGGTGGAAGAGCGCGGTGCCGTGGTACCAGTGGAATGCGAGGGAGCGGCGAGGGGCGTGCGCCACGGCAGACTTTTCATGCATCTCGTGGAGCTGCGAGAGGACTAGGAAGATGTGGAGGAGGAAGGGGTACTGGCGGTGTCAGTTGGGTCGATTCTGCGTGAGAAAAGCTGAGCTACATTGCGTGATCCTCCAAAGGGGCCAGGCTAGGTGAACGAAGGGGGTTCTGTATACAGAAACTTACCGAGTTGCTCAGCCCAAGGACGCCTTGACTATACCACGTCTCGAAGACTCCCCGACCCTCGCCCAGCGTAGAAGCCGTCGAGTTGAGAAAGTGCTCCAGGTTCTTCAAGTCGGGCTCACGCAACTCATAGCTGCCGAGTTTGCCGGCCACGGGCAACGCTAGAGGAATGCTCTTGTGCAGGCTTGGATTGGGGGTCTTCTCAACTGGCATGCCGAGGTCGACCTTGAAGACGCCTGCTTGCGAGAACTGCAAATCTGGCGCGGAACGAGAGTAGTTGCAAATGAAGCCTGATGCGAGACAAGGCCGGCACGAGGGCTTGGCTTCGTCACACTGTGGTTGAGACCATCAGCAACGGTTTCCAGGAATAAAAAACAGTCACTTTTCATGACTGATAGGGAGCCTTGAATACCTTGACTCTGCGAAGCTTGCAGTTGGCGCAGCCCAGTCGAGACTTGCGGTGGGCTTTGCGCTGGCGAACGAAGGCTTGTCCCCGGCCAGGAGGACTCACACTATCCGCGTTGCTGGAGGACATGGCGGGAGTAGTGGTTACGAAATGTGGGCAGGGGCACAATGTGAGATTGCTTTGGTCCTTTCCCCTTGGGCTTAACTTTATGTGAGAGGCAGAGCAGAGATGGGCTGGCCCGCTCCGAGTTTGATGCTGATTTGGCTTGCGGTGGATGGGGGGTTCATCCAGTTTCTTGCACCGGCATCTCGGTCTTCTCACAGTTCCCGATGGATATACAGTTGGAAGAGAGAGTAGCTCACAGAGGGAGATGTGAGCAGGTTGACTGAGTGAGGCTCGAGAATGATGTTGGATGGTTGACTGGCGGATTCCGGAGATAACTTGTCAGACGACCGGGACAAGCGCTAGCCCGTTTTCGTATACATTCTCTGCCATGATTGGTTGTTGGGCAATGACATCCGTGGGAGACGCCATGTGCTTTCTAAATGCCTTCATCTGCAACCAAGGCAGACTATATCGTAGTTTAGACCGAGACAGGCTCTTAACTCCGGTGCAAAGAAACCATTGCCTTATAAAAACGAGTTCAGCTCCCGCCCATGTATTCATCCAACAAGACCAAATCCACCGCCATCATCATCATCATCATCATGACTTGCACAGAAACAAGGCTCCCCCCAACCATGAAAGCCATTGTGCTTCACGGGCCGGGCCAGGCCAGCGTCGACTCGGTGCCGACGCCCCAGCCCGGCCCGGGCAGCATCACCATCCAGGTTCTCCACGCCATGGTGCACAACAATGCCAAAGCACTCATCAACGGCACTGCCGGTGCCGGCGGCCACGCAATGAAGCAGCCGTACCCAAACACCCCAGGCGGCTACGGCGTAGGCCGAGTTGCCGCCTCCGGGCCGGACACGACCGCGCCGGAGCTCCTCCGCCCGGGGCAGCTGGTTATTTTCGACCCCTTTGTGCGTGCCCGAGACGACGGCGACGTTGCCATCCTACACGGCGCCTTTGACGGCCTCGACGAGCGCACAAAGTCGTTTACACGCGACAACTGGCGCAACGGATGCTGGGCGGAATACGTCCACATGCCGCTGGAAAACACATGGCCCGTCGACGAGACCCTCCTTGTCGGCCGGCTCGGCCTACGGACCGAGGAGCTCATGTTCTTGGGCCCTCTGGCCGTTGCCTACGGAGGGCTGCGGAGAATCGACGTCAAGGCCGGCGAGACGGTCGTCGTCACGCCCGCCACGGGATTGTTCAGCGGTGCCGTCGTCGCCGTCGCGCGGGCCATGGGCGCCGTCGTCGTCGCCGTGAGCCGCAGCGCCGACAAACTAGCCAGGATGGAGAGCATCTACCCCGGTCTGAAGACCGTCGTTGCCGGCAAGACGGACAATCTGACTGCGGCTATTGCCGCCCACGGCCCCGTGGACGCTGTTGTGGATTTCAGCCCCCCCGGTGCGACGGCTTCGGAGTTCCTGGGCCAGGCGATTCTTTCTCTCCGACGGTACGGACGGGTCTGTCTCATGGGTGGGCGTGGCGATGCCGCGCTGCCCGTTCCTTATGGCTTCATGGTGTTCAAGGACTTGACGATTCGCGGATCTTGGATGTACGAGAGGGAACATGTCAGAGCCCTCATTAAGATGGCGGAATCGGGCGTCTTGAAGCTTGGGAAGGCGGCGGGTTTGGAGGTTATTGCTTCTTATCCGCTGGAGAAGATGGATGAGGCGCTAGACAAGGGACTGGAAGCCGGTGCTTCTGAGTTGGTGGTTATTGGGCCGCAGTGACGATCTTTTGCTTACGGCGGTTGTTGCTTGCGGGTTGTCGAGTATGACTTTTGAACGGATACCATGTAATGGAGTATTGAACAGCTGTGATGCATTCCTTGAGCCTTGTTACCATCCATATGGGATACAGTCTGTGACAACCCACTACAGCCATCTCCAAGTATACGACAACGTGTTGCAATATACCGGCATGGCGTGTGATATGTCGGTGCGTTTTTGGATTAGTTTTGCCTCCCACTATATGACGCGCAATCGTAGTTTTGCTTCCGAGTCCTGTGTGAGTCTCTCACAGCTGTTGGAAAATGACTATCTTCTTGGGGACAAAGTCAACGGACTGTATTTCCGAGAAAATATGTCAATACGATCGTTAATGACTCGCCACCTAGGTAATGTGCCTCATGGTATGCTTTTGCTCTTGGAACCAAGACACACGATACTAGACTTCCAAGCTTCTAGCCAATATTCTACAGGTCACGACGGTTCGAATATTGGCCTGACAAAAGATGTTTGTGAAACTTATCTGCTACAATCGTGGGAGGCTACTCCCAGTCGGGCATCTACGACGTGTTTTCCGATTTCCTATGGCCTTTGCGCGATAAACTCACATGATGTCCGTGACATTCGAGAGGGGAATTTTACATAACGGGGGCAATTAACCTTAGTATCGTTTCACGATGAGGCATGGCTGGCTTCGTTTTTGACTGCGACTCAAGTGGGTTCTCGCGCATTGTCCACCTGCGCCAAATTATGCCGGGGTATATACGGAGGAATCGATCTGCCTAATAAATTGCCGTTGAATGAGATGAAATATGGCGGTCGCAGTCTGATGGGGCGACGGGACCTGCGAGGAATGACGTAGTCGTCTAGGGATATCCTCCAGGCATTTCATTTTAGTACATGCGTGTCAACAACACTTTAAATGCAAGTGGCCCAGCTTATGCAAGAGGAAGCAGGCTTGTCATGCGGGACGGATGCTTTTATGCCTTGGAAATTTGAATTTCAAGGGTCCAAGCGAACAAGGTGACCAGGAGTGTATAACGTGATGCGAGAAGAGTGAGGCGTGTCATATTGGTCACCCTGCAGAGCATACCGGGGTGAAGCAGCATTGCGAGCAATGCAATGAGCATTCAATCTGCCCGTTATTCGCCACGAGTACCGCTGTCTGCAATGGGGGTTGCTGACGACGCACTTCGCTGCTGTCTCAGACAAGGTCCATGGCATGGCACGGGACCCTTGCGGCAGACAGTCCGGGGTCTCAAAAGAAAGGGTCTTTGCGATCTGCGATTTGGGATACAACAACAACTCGCTGTGCGACTCGGCTCTTTCGGATATCACGGCGCCATGGCCCGGCGGCCTCGGGTGACGTGGCAGGACAAAGGTCGGCATGCTGAAGTCGTATCATCAAGCCGTGAGGGATGGGAGGCACAGACGGGTGGCACTTGGATGGTGGCGGAAGGGTCGGAGTTCGCACCGGCTGTCCAGGGGATATCCGAACCCTTGGGATTCGGCCTGTCTTGACTTTCAAAAAGAGTGAATGAGTTCATTCCTTGACTTTCCCCGTTGCCTTACCCAGTGTGCATTATGAGCAAAACCTTGCATACAAAGCAACATCTAATAACTTTCCAAGCAGAAATAACAAGGCTAAGTCACACATTGAAGCCAAGTGAGCCAAGCTCAACTCGCGTAGGGCGACTCCACCCGTTCCAAAATTTCTGCTGTGCGTCCGCCCAACTATCAGCCTGTCGAGGCATTTGGGCAGGAGTCTCGAAGATCCAAGACTGGGGTACTCCGTAATAGTCAAGGTTGACGTCGCCTTTACTGTGTCCCATGCTGCGCGCTGGTGGGGGGCCGGCGTCACCAGGGCTAACGGACAGGCGTTATGGCGAGCTGAGAAAGAAGGTTGCTGAAGTTTGGAATGTATTTTGTCAACAATGCGGATCGTTATGTCGTATTCATTAGTCTAGTCGAGGGGATCGGTGTGAATGACGAATCAACAATGACCTCTAGAGTAATTATTGATTCCCTAGGCGCTTGGGAACTCTCATTGTTTGCAGCCGACGTCGGCCAATCTTCCATGCCGGCGCAAACGCACAACTGCCGCTGCAGAACAAGCTCTCGACTGTGGACGGAATATTCCATCGGCCGTCACGGCGTTCCTCGGACGCTCAACGGTATCATGGGTCCTTCTGACTGGCGTTAGCGCCACCAAAGCTTCACAATGTTTTCCCGAGGACGGGATAGAACGGCAAGCCTCACGGCGACGAAGCCAAAGTTGTTGTGGGTGCCCATGGAAATAACGGCAGCGACGGAGACGAGCTGTTCACGACCCGCTTATTTAATATTGACTGATGGCAGTGAGTACGGAGTATGTACGCAGCATCTCTCGGATAGTAGTCGGATCGCAGTTCGATCGGAGTGTAAGGCTAGTTCCCTCGGGGATTTTTCTCACTACCTAAGTTAGCTTTTGCTCGCTTTCTTTGTTCAGCAACATGCGAGTTTGGGGCCCGGAGGCTGATGCTGCTAGGGCGACGGTCTGTCCCAGATGGTATCAACTACGTAACCAGGGCCGAGGGTGGTATCTTGAAACCCAGAAAAGAAATATATCTGGTGCAGCAGCCCAGGCCCGAAGCCTTGGCTTGATTGCCACCCATCTTGTACCATTTGTGTGGAAGGTAGTTGAACGCCGTTTGAAAACAAACAAGCCACTCATACCAGACTCGTTCGATTCTTTGTCAACCTGCCTTCTTCGATCCCACTTACTCGCTTCGGTTTTTGTACCTCCGAAACAAACATTGTATATTCCGTCTTCATAGAAAACTGTCACATGCCGGTTGGTCCAGCGTTATAATCGAATCGTATATTGTGCTAGAGAAACTCTGTGCCTCTCGTGGCGCCAGAACCCAGCAGCCAAATCTACTGTGGCGCATCCTATCACAAGCGAAAATAGAGAGCCTAGGTGAGTGCCCCGGCTTGCATTGCCCTCAGGTGATCCCGGTCTCGAACACACCACGACGGGTTGCTTGGTTGCTTTGGTACCAAATCCCAGCGGCATTGTGTCAATTTCCTTGTGACGGGGTCCTCGTGCCGACACAGGCGCGGTCCTTTCGTTAGTTGGGCTCGACTTGGTTCGACCGTGCAACAAGTGCTTGCCATAGATTCCATTGGCATCTTCTCCACCCGTGGGATACCGGCCAGAAGTCTGTCCACGTCGCCGGCATTTGCGGAGCGTTGGCAGCAAGCCATTGAGATGACAGATGAGAGACAAGGGGTACCATGGAATCGGCAGACCGAATTGACAAATTATAATGTGCTGCAATGCTGAACAAGCATGGCTGACTGCATCTGACTCCAGTTTCGTTCGCTGTTGCTTCTCCAGGCTCGGCTAGTACTGCACCCCCTGTCAGCCCAGGTTGTGGTCGGAGGAGAGCGAATTCATGTGCATCGTTGACGTAGTTGCAATACTTGTTCCTCTTGCTCGCCTTGCTCGATTTGCTATTGACGGCAAAAGACGACACACGAACCGGTTATTTTTACTTTTCGTTTCTTTGTTCTCGTCCTGCCGGGTCGCTCAAAGGTTCAAAGCCAGCCGTGCAGCAACGTCTCCGCCGCTCTGCGTTCCGCATTCGTTTGCAGCCTTTCGTTGCAGCATCAACAACGTTGAACGTGTTGAGTTTGGAGTGACGGGCTAGCGTCGCAAGTCCTCCGGTCCTGCCAGGTTCTTGTCACCCTCATCACGGTCGTCCCTTCCCTGCCGTCATCTCTGCATCGCACCTGCCGTCAGCTACGGCAACGAACTAGGAAGAGTCTGGTGACATTTCTCTCCGGACTAGCCAGAGGAAACCAGAATTGTGAGTGCTAAATTCATTGACTCAGAGTTTCCAAGTTTGAAAGTCTTTTTGTCCTTTTTTTTTTTTTTTTTTTAAATTTTTTTCCCTTTTGTGTCCCCCCCGCT